CTAGGGAGAGCTATAGAATCTCTATGTAGGGGAGATTCTTCATTTTTGTTTTCTCCCCTGTCAGTTTCCACTACTTGCTCTTCCATGTTGTCCACCAGAATTACCTGGCCCTAGGGCAGCCATTTGTTTACCTTTGAGGAGAGAAAATGGAAGTCAGTGGAGACAGGGTTGAAATTTCTCTGGAAGGATTCTCTCACATTATCCTGGAGCAAGAGTAAAGCCTTCTCTTCTGTGATTTTTTTCCTCAACAATGGCCTCTGCCCTCTGTCACACACAGGTGACACCCTTGTTATTAACTAGTAGGGGAAGGAGAGTGCTTTATTAACTTCTTAACTTCTCCCCAAACTGCACCATATTCTCTCCCTTCCCCCCCCCCAAACCCTTTTCTATTTCATGATTTCCTCTTCTCTAGTTTGGGGATTTCAGTTCTCACTGACTTTGTTTCATATCTTCCTAATGTCTGAAAGAACAAGTTCCTTCTCCATTTTCCAGGAGAGTTTTCTTCCTCAAAATAAGACATCCTCAAAACCTCTCTACCATTTCCACCCTTCTCCTTCTCTCTCTTTATAGCAGAAAAATTGAAGAGGGATGCACAGTCTTACTGAAGGGGACTCCACTTTCCCACTGAGGCTTGGCGTGCAGAGTAGAAGGTAGATTTCTAGCTGAATGGTAGGATCTTTCTTTTCCAGAGGATATGGGCTGTTAGGAAACTTCTGGGAAGGAAGTCAAGAGATCAGAGCCAGGACTGGGTTTTGGTAATTCAATTTTCCAGAGAGAGAAGGGTCCCCACTCTCTAATTCACATCTTGCTTAACTTGACGGAAATCCTTTCCGAATGTTTCTTTCTGCCTCTGTTGCAATAACAATTACATAAGTTTGACTGTGACACTATTAAAATAGTTGTCTCATCTCTTGTCCCCAAAATTAACTTTTCAAGTATTATGTGAGGGACTTTTGTTCTGTTGAGGATTGGGGAAATAAATTTGAATTTTGATTAAAATCTTAGATTTTGTAGTGCCTCAAATTTTTTTGTTAACGCTTTTGCCTTTCAAAACTCTTCTCTTCACTAAATCTGTCTCTTTTGCTGTTCATTTGGGTATAAAGATTTGCTTAAGAGGATATTAATATCTGAAAGTAAGACTTTTGAGAAAAGAGGCTACTTTTAAACTTCCATCACTATATTCATTCTTATTTTATACCTAATACATGTGTGACAGAGCTTATTAGCTGCATACTTAAGATGAAGTATATATGTTTACATGGAAAAATTAGGAAATAAACAGATATCAGTATAATGGAGGAAAAAAAGAATTTAAATTAAATAATTTAAATTTAAATAATTCCATGACTATTTATGTAAGATTATGTAATCATATTGTCTTATAGTCTGCCTGTCTTTCTTACTCAATAACATAATTTTTATATATTAAATGCTTTCTACATAAATATTCATATAATCTGTGTAGGTATTGTCTTAAAACTACTGAAAAGAAATCCTTGAGTGTTTCTCCTACACTTATTTCTCCTCTACAGTATTCATTTCTGGGATAAAGCCAGCTCTTTGGCCTGCATGGCCATGTCCTGAAGCTAGCTAGCTACATAGGACCTGGCCATAGTTCCCAGGAGAGGATGTATAGCAGAGCAGAATTCTGACTTACTTAAAATCAGTTCCTTCACTTACTATGTGTGACCTTCGACAATATACTTGGTTTCTTTGGGCTTCATCTATGAAATGAGTATGGAAATATCTAACCCTAACTGTGCAACAGAATTTGTGAGGATGAACTGAGCAACTATGTAAAAATGTTTTGTAAATGATAAAGAGCTTTACAAATGAAAGACGTTAGTAATGTTAACTGAAACTAATTGCATTGATACCATGTATAAGATCCTATTCTGATTTACCTCATTTATTCTTTATAGCCACTGTCTGGCAAAAGTATTGTCATTAGCTCTATTTTATAGATTAAGCAATCAAGGCAGAAAGGTCAAATGATTTACGCAAGCTCACACAATTAGGAATAGTACTTAGATTTGAACCAATCCACCTCATTCTAGAGTGTCGTCCCTTTTCCTCTCTGGTAATAAGAAATGTGGGCTCTCTAGTCAGCCTGCCTGGGATCAGATATTGTCTCCAACTAACTAAATTACTCTTTGTGCCTGTTTCACCCTTAATAAACTGGAGATACAATAAAACTGACCTGACTTCTTTGGGTTGTTATGAGTAGAAAATAAAATGAAACATAGAAAAAACTTAGAACATTGCCTGCCCAAAAAAGTGGCTCAAAATGTTAATTGTTATTCTTCTCTTGTAATATTGTTTGCCTATGTGCCTCATGCTCTAATTTTGCAGTAACCTTGAATGCACGTCTGGTTGTTCAAATAAATTTGCTTTGTGAGAGAATTAGTTGTAGTTGAGGGAAGGTTAAAAGTTTGGTCAACTTAACAAATTTTTAATGGTAGCTAATAAACACCATGACTTTCTATTTTCATTTCCTCTGAGGAAACCACTAACCAGCACAATTATTTTTAAATATCACTGTGCTGTGTTCTCTCGAAAGTCTAAATACTAAAGAAAAAAAGAACACTGTATTTTTACGGCTATGCATAATATTCTTTCTCTCTTCTTCTCTCTCTCTCTCTTTGGGATGTAGTTTGGCTTTGGAAAAATATAGTATTTATGTAGTGTTTGGTCAAATAATTTAGCACTATAGAAAAGATCGTGAATCAACAATCATGGTATCTGGGGGTGTAAGAAGCAATCATTGAAAAGCTAGTGGCTGTGCAAATGTATTAACTTAGTAACCCAAAGTAGGGATTTCTGAAATTATGGTGGAAATATTGCCTGCCTTGACTACTTGTTCTGCTTGAGACCTTTGCTGATCAGATTGCAAGTAATTTTAAAGTCACATACCCAGTAAACGGGTATGGAATATAGGAAACATCTTCAATGGGATATACAATTGAGAGATATGGCAGAGCTCCCATAAGTAAGACGGACTGAGGAACCTGACAACTTGTCACATCAAAGGAGCAAATAGTTGTTCAATCTGGAATGTCCAGGCCCAAACTCACAAATATGTTTCTACCTTTTGAGCTGAACAACTATCTCTTTCCCAAGAAATTGTTCTATGACAAAAACTCTGAAAGGAAAATTGTTCCATGCACATAGTATTCTTATATCCTGGATTTTGGGGGACAGTTTTGTTTCTGATTAGATGATGATTCTTAATTTAGATTTGTAAAATATTGTCATGGCAAATTGTAGGGGCCGTCCCTGGGCAAAATTGGCTTAAGCCCAGAGTCAGCGAAACTGGGTGTGCTCTCCTTGGCGCCAGAGGTCAATAGGCCCGGGCACGGCCTCTTGACCAAACAGAACTATTCCTCATGACAGATAGCTTTATGACAGATAACCAAGTGCCTTGGGTCTTGCAAACAAGCCAAGGCATCTCATTGTCCTGCATACGGTAATGAGATAAAGAAGTTAAGATACAAGAAGTTAAGATGCAAACGTCTGCTTCCCTTAAGCAATAGTCTGGAAGGAATGAAAATGTGTTTCCTCAAGGCGCCCAAGGTAGTCACGTACCAGGAAGTAGCTGCCGGACATAGAAAAAGTATATAATAAAGCGACTGGTAGAATTGTCTACTGCAGTCTTGTATGTCCTTGTGTGTGTCTGTGTGTTTCTTTCTGTGTCCATCCCCCATTCTGCAATCTGGGTCGTGACACAAATCTTTATGAAGATTTTAGTGAAATATAATTTTATGACAGAACAATGAACATAGCTATAATGTCCAACAATAGGATCAGTGGTGTGTGGAAGGAGGGTGTTGGAGTGTTCAGTAACTTTACTCCTGAAAGACCAAGTGCTAATCCTGTAAGAGCCCATTCGTGTGTAGCAGTGGCATTCATTTTTCTCCTAATTCCATTTATGAAAATTCCCTTTCTTATATCCTTTACAAGTCAGCTCCTAGCTATTTGGAAGGAAGACCCTACTTCTAGGAAAATGTTCATCTCATCACATAAAAATTCTTAATTTATACCATATTAATTTAATAAAATATTATAGTTCCTATAATTATATAATTATAAAAACTTGCTAACATGGGAACAAGTTCAACATAATCTTACATAAAACAGACATTTAAACAAAACTAGTTACATTAGAGTGATTTAATTCTGGATGCTTTTTTCCTTAAAAATTTTTCCTTAATGTTATTTTCACACTGTTTTCAGCAATAAATAACAATGAACTGATAATTTTTTTAACGTAAGCAATTTATCCCCAAGTACACCATTTCTCTCTCCAATTTTTAGGGGGAGATAGTCCGTCATCTAAAACCCAATTAACTGACTCAAGTTTTTGGTTATCCTTCATTTAGGTAAAAATATTAGGTATCCAGAACACTGCATTTCTGAATATTTTGACTGATATTACTATACATGGAATTAGAATTTGTCTTTTGGGGCTTTGAAAGAGGTGATGTTTAAAGAAAACAATAAATGTTTAGATATCATTAGGCTAGAATATTTTATTGCTTCATAGAAATTTTGGTAAATTGCTTCTAAGGGTTTATTTGTCAGTAATGACCATATCAACAAAATTAATAAAACCAAATATAATAAGAACCACAATCAGAAAATATATATTTTCCTTTTATTTACAACCAAATCAATAAACAAAATGACATAGTTATAATTTTATTGATCCCAGAACTAGAAATTTAAATGACCAAATATAAGAATTTTTATCACAGATAAATCATATGAAAACTATCCAGAAAAAAACCCATATGTATATATTCCTTAGTTAATACACAATCTGAGTGCCAAAGAGAAACCAGACACTTCTATTTATGTATATAATTGGGCAATTTTAATTTTAAGGAGCCCAATAAATGCTTAATTTCACAGGCTGATAGAGTCAATATCATCAGATCCATATTTGTAGATTTAGATAACCGTATAACTCTGATTGCTTTTTGTTATATTATACTGACCTGATCATGGAGGAATCATCTAAGATGCTTTAGATTATGATGGAAGTCCCAAAATTTTCTTCAGGGCTGCTTTTATCTCCTTATTCCGGAGACTGTAGATGAGGGGGTTGAAGAGTGGGGTCACCATAGCATAGAACAAAGTTGCAATTTTCTGTATCCCAGCAGAATGACTGAGTCCTGGGCTCACATACATGACCATCAGAGAGCCATAGAACAGTGATACCACAGCCAAATGAGACCCGCAGGTGGAGAAGGCTTTATGTCTCCCAGTGCCTGAAGGCATATGCAACACAGCTATTAGGACAAGGATATAGGACCCAAGAATAAAGAGGAAGTTACCAAAAATAACTAATGAGCTTAAAGTGTAGCAAAATAGTTGGGTTTTGGGGGCAGAGGCACATGCCAATTCAAACAGTGGCCCTGGGTCGCACACAACATGGTCAATAATGTTTGGACCACAGAAAGGCATCTGAGAGATGAGAACAATGGGGATCAGGAACCACAGAAATCCACAAACCCAGCAGGTAATGACCAGTTTGGTGCAGAGATGCCCGGTCATGATATTAGGGTAGTGCAAGGGACGGCAGATAGCAAGGTACCGATCAAAGGCCATGGCAGCCAAAAGTAAGCATTCAGATGTCCCCAAAGAGAAAAAGAAATAGAACTGGAGGAAACATCCTGCAAAGGAGATGGTTTTTTTCTCTGAGAGGAAGTTGACCAACATCTTGGGGGCTGTAGAGGAGACATACCATATCTCTAGAAAGGAGAAATTCCCCAGGAACATGTACATGGGAGTGTGAAGTCGCTGGTCACACCACAGTGCACAAACAATGGCTCCATTCCCTGCTACAGTCAGAGCATATGTCGTAGTGAACAGTGAGAAGAGGAGGATCCGAATCTTCCACTCACAAGAGAAACCTTGGAGTATAAATTCACTTACAAAAGCAAAGCTGGAATCTGGCTCAGAGATATTCATTGGGTCAGTAACCTGCAAGGTCAAGAGACATATCATTATCAGTTAGGACTAGTAGTTTACATCTTCTTGGTTATATAGTATATTCTGAGTTTTGGGCATAGAATGTAGCTGGTTGCACAAAAACAAACTTTTGCCAGCTAAATCACTCTCTTAATATGTGTCCATAATAGAACCAGGTAAAGTTAAACTCATTTTGTAAGCTTCTTATTTTTGGGCAGAAATGATCTTTGATAGTTTCTGGCTAGCATACAATACAAAGTTAGCACTTAATAAATGTATTAGTTTCTTATCCCAAACCCAACATATAGTGCAATAGACTCAGTAAGGGAAATTTTGATTATGTATATCTTAGTTAAATATATTACTTAAAATTATTTAAATATGCAAAAAATGCACATATTTTACAGTGAATTGGTAGTAATTATTTTAAAGTCATTATCTCTCAATTTCTACTGCTGCTGCTGTTAGCTTGAGTATTATAAGAAAGCAAATCTATAACATTACTTACCAATGTTGACTTTCAATATTGTAAGTTGCAATGTCTTCTGTAGAAAACAGTGGCTTTAAGTTTTTGCTTAACCTTTCACTTTAATTTTGTAGGCTGATATAATCACTATCATATTGATTTAGTTATTATGTACAGAAGTTTCCAAAAGAAGATCTAAGCATGGGACTTTATTTTTATGAAGCTTTTTTTCATAAAATTTTGGGATTGATTTTCCTTATATGTTTGGTAAAATCAAAAATTTCTCCTAAATGCTAGGCGTCAAACACTTTCTTTAGTTACAGGTTAACATCCTTCCTCCCACATTCTTATGAAAAGATGTCAGGGATCTGAGTCACCTGAAAAATTTTTTTTCTTGGCTATGTGCAGGGATGTGAGTCCTAGAAGTCGTGAGGGCTTACATTTTAAGCACAAACACAAAATTTTCAAAAGTAGTTTTTCTTCCTACCTACTCTCCAGACCAGTGCTCTGGGAAGTCTTTTAGTATGATCAGGTGGAAGTTTTATTAATATTTATCTTTTTTAAAAATGCTCTAAACTAGAAGCATTCATAAACCAACATTACAAAATTATCGAATGAAAGGGAATTGACACCGGAGTGTCAAGACCCTCAGCAGTAATCAAAAGCCGAAACTATCATAGTTCTGATATGGGCCAAATCTATAAATGACCTGTTTTATAAAACATTTTCTGCCTCCAGCTAGACAAAGAGTTTTTTTGCTGTACAAAAATAAAGAATGCTCTTTCTTTAGCTCATATTCTCCTGGGACATGGCCTCAATAGCATTAGAAAAGTTCTCTTCCAAGCCAATGAATCTTTAAAAAGTTACTGATTACACATTCTCTGAGGAATCAGGAAAGAGTAATGGCAACTTCTCTAAGGCACCATCATTTACAAAGAATCCACATTCTGGGATGTGGACTCCAAGAAACTTCCAGAGGACATAGTCTGAGGGAAAAAAGACACAATGTGTCACCAAAGTTTAGAAACATTTCCAATGTCACTGCGCATATTTTAAGGCAGTGGGCCCCAACCTTTTTGGCATCAGGGACCAGTTTCACGGAAGACAATTTTTCCACGGACCTGGGTCTGGGGAAGAATGGAGAGTTATGGGGAGTGGCTGTAAATATAGATGAAGCTTCATTCACTCACCCCCGCTTCCCTCCTGCTGTGTAAACCAGTTCCTAAGAGGCCACAGCCCGGTACTAGTCTACAGCCTTGGAGTTGGGGGCCATAGTTTTAGGGGATACAGAGCCTAATGAGGAAAATGTTGAGATATAGACATTTTAGGATATTGAATAAAAATTTATAGTATTTAGAAATAACTTTAGAAAGATAGCTTGGCAGAATTCTTTGGATGTGAGTGGAAGGTGCAAGAAGTATCAACATTTAAGTTAATTGACAGAAATACTACAGAGAGAGGAACATGTGACTTCTCAATTAATATGAGAAAAGTATTTACTTTTAGTGATTAGCGTTCCTTCCATTTTTACTTTATGACATTCAGGGGCCTACATAGTATGACTAAAACACTCTGGTGGGAGTGAATGCTCACATCAAGTAGTGTAAAATAGTTGAGGACATCAGCAATGTGTGCTCTAGGAACACTGGTCTCTACCCCAGACTACTTGAACATCTAAAAGCAAACTTCTCACTTTGAAAGACTAAGGAGGAAAAAGATTATTCAGACCTTTATTACCTCTTAGTTGTTCTACTTTAGTCCTCAGAAAATCCTAAAACGTAGCCTTGGTCTTGTCATTTGCCTGTTCAAAAGAGTTTCCCAGCTGAGTCCAGTAGACGGACAGACTCATGAGGGATAATATATGCCTCTGGTTTCCTATATCACTAAGATTTTGTTGGTTTACTATTATAGTCACAGACAACCAAAACAGATTGGGATGGGGACATCTGAGTTGACTTAGATGTAACTGAGAATCTTGAATCTCTGTTATTCAGCCTCCCTTTCTATGGGATGAAACATGATCCCATGTCTGAAGGTAGTGACTTTTCTTTACTTCTTGATTTAAAGAACAAACTCCTTTGTCTTTGAGAACCACTCTGTTTACTTCTTTTTGTTCTAAGATTATCATATTGGGTGATCATTCTGTTTCTTCCTTAAAACGTTTGGTATTCCACCTGGTAATACAGATTCAGTTTTCCCTTTTCAAATAGAGGAAACATAAAATCTTAATTTCAGTTGTTTAATCTCCGGTTCAACCAAAGCTTCCGGAATCCTGCCATCATGTCATCTGAAAAATAACAGAAAACAAAGAGGTGCTGGCTAAGATTACTCTCATAGAATTTCCAAGCAAATATTTCCTGGACATTCTCCTGGAGGACCAAGGAAACAAGCATGTGGGTTTTGTAAAAGAATGACATATTATCACATGTACTTTTCTTTTCTATAATCTAAAATATATTTAGAGAAAAATAGTCAAGGTCACAGCCCTGTTTTGAGAGAATATTTACAACAAAGTGAACATTGAATCAGGACAGTGAAGGGACTCCCACATGTGTATGATTAACATTTCTGAAACAATCTTAGGTATCGAAGATTTGGATTCTGGTGTTGCATTGACACAGGTTGGTCCTCACACAAATCCTCTTTAGCTGTTACGCAAAAAGGAGCAGAGTGCCAGGAAACTCTCCCTTCCTTTTATTATGCATCCTTTTCTGGCCACATCTTGATCCTGGAGGCCACCCCTCAGGAGCAGCAGGGACAATCACAGTGCATCATTCAATCCTCCAGCCTGTTTTACTTTCAGTGGTGAACTCAGAGGTGAAAGGACCTCCCTGAATCCACTGTTGAGACTGCTACCAAGTCATGTCCCCTCTGGTTTATTGCCAACCTGGTCGCTCCAGGCTGGCTCTAGATTTTAGAAAACAGCCTCAGAGTGCATGTCACTGCTTGCTTCAAGGAATCCTGGAGCTCCCCTTTCCTCATATGTGCTTGTTCAAGTGACAGGAAGATTCATTTGAACAAATCCCAAATCCCGAGTTCCTTCCCAATCGTTCACTAGCGGCAACCTCTCTGCCTCCTCGTACTCTTCAGATGTGGTGGTTTAACAATTGGTCACCTTGACTACACTTATGGGCCACCCAGGAGGGGGACCCATGCTCACTGGAATGGTCCAGCGACCTTCACACTTCAGTGTGTAAGGATCAGCTGGGGTCTCATTTAGCACTCAAGTTCTTGAACTTGCTTTCCCCACAAATCTATCCCATGCCAGGCTACATGCCAGAGATTTTACAGGAAAAATGTGAGGGAGGCATTATCCTTTTCGGTGATAGAACAGAAATTCACAGAGGTTAAGAGATTATATTTGGCTTAAATTCCACTTGATATATCTTTCAAGAGATTAGGATAACAACAGTAAAAATTATATCTAATCTGAACATGACTTCTAGTAGTTATTAAATGTTTTTTCTTCGCTCTAGTCAACAATACGTCATTTTTGTTTTGAGGACTTGTTTCTTAATTAATCTTGTAACTAAAGCATTCTACTTGATAAACAGCCTAATTTAATGAAAAAGTATTTGAACTTTAGACTCTGGAGAGACAAAATTAATTAATCTTTGACCTCAAGGAGCTCACAGTGCATCAAGCCACTCTAGTAGGACAAAAATCCTAGGAAATCTTTCGCAGCAAAAATCCCACCCAAGGGCTGAACTTCAGGCCCTTTTCATATTGCTAATTAAGTAAATATGCTGTTATTCTATGCTGATAGTGATGAGCAGGCTTGGGTGAGCTGACTTCTATGGGGAGGGGGGAGGAAGATGTGTTTCTGAACTTTCCTTCTTCAGTTAGGCACTCTGTGATTCCTTCATTTCCTTCCTCTCTTCTCCAAGCCCTGTGCATGTGGGCTCAGAGCCGCCAGGTGGCAGGATAATCCTCATCACTCAGTCAAACTGACAGGCCCTGGGCTTTTAAGTGCACACTCAGTCTGCCCATGGACCACACACTGATGCTGGGAGAGCTTTAGACTAAATATTCAGAGTTGCATACTTAGATCACGAGGTTCCTTCTTTCACACCCCCGGCTCCCACTCCTATTCATCTTTCAGTGTTAAGTCAAGGACACTCCAAGTTACACTTTGTAGGAGCCCCTGGAGTATTTGAAGTTTCATGCTATAATTCAAAACCATTTCATCCTCACCTCAGTGGTATGTTGCAGAGAATATATTTTGAGTTTCTGCCATTTTAATGGCCATCTAGCTTCCTTCATAAGAAATTTTTGGTATTACAGTAGTGTGTAAGCTTCAAAATCAGTCCCAAATCTTTTACTTCAATAATGTGTAAGCTTCAAAATCAGTCCCAAATCTTTTACTTTTAGACTAATATGTTAAGTAGCTCAGAAACCATTCTTCTGTGAAACCACATCTCTCTAAGAAGATGTTTGAAAGTCAGTGATTCTGAAAAAGTAATTTTCCCCAAAGGTTTCAACACATTTCTCCGCTATAAGTTTAGATATTGTATGTTTTTACTATTATTCTTCACCTTTTCCTGCATTTGTCTTTCTTCTTTCTTACCCTCTTCTC